AGTGAACTTTAGGAAACAGAACAAGCATTTCCTTAGAATAGAATGTAACTTCCATTGTAGTCCACATTTGTGCTATCCACAAATTCAGTTATCATTAACCTAATGTTTAAAATGCCATTTACCAGTTCTATAGCACTGCAATGTATTATTTTTATGTATGATTTAAAAAACATATTTACATTAAAACTAATGTTATTTGATGCTCACCCTTAGTGCATTATGCTGGTAGATGCAAGCTGTCCAAGTTACAGTCTACACATGTTCTTTCTGTTGCCACAGCCAAGGTAGAAATGGGTACAACAGAACCCAAAAGATTGAGAGAACACAGATTTGAATATGAAATTTTTTTTAAAGATGACTTCAGAAACACTCATGAATGTGGCAGTAGAGTGCAGATAAGCCCTCACTCAGCTGTCTATACCCAATCTCTTGCCAAGTTTCAATCTTCCACAAAATTACAGCTTTCTAAGGAAATAGCCAAATCAAGTTAAAGCAATTTTGTACTGGAAATCTACTATGAAGTCAGCACTTGTCATCACAAGACAAAACTGATGTCTTGTTTGTCATCAACAAACAAGAGGCAATATTTGTTAAGGACTAAAATGGTCTTCCCTGCATTTAGAATGCTCAGCCATGTTTCAGGTAGGCACTTATGACTGAAGGATTTGTCATCAGTTTCTGCTGTAGCTCATGAATGCATACTGTCACAAATGTCAGCATTTGTGAGGTGATACCATAGAGCTCATTGTCACGCTGTGAAAGATGGTGAGTAGTGTTCAATCACCATGGGTGCTTCTGTGTTTTGCCCATTTTTGTCATCCCTAAGTAACTTAGAACTACAAGCAATCTTCATGTTCAGTAAAAGGGTATTTTTAGATACATGGAAGAGCAGAGAGGGTTTATCATTCAAAGGTGATGAAATGATGTATCTATCTGATGTAATTCTGATACTTCTATGATAAATAGGGAAAAATGATTGGAAACTTTCAGTGATTTGTAGTGAACCCTCACCATGCTCCATCTTTTGCAATGCACAAGCTGGGTGTTTACATAAAAGCAAATGCTTTTTCTCCTTCTCCAGTATCTGTGGATAGTCCCTCCTGGCAAACAACAGCATAATCTGTTGAAAATTATATATTATCAGTGTTAAAACTAGATTGTAGTGCATGTTTTGCAACTAAAAATATTGCTAATGAATCTTTATTATTACTTGAAGTAACCATTAGAGCTAAGAGGCATTAGTGCTAAAAATAAAAATATGCCTTTTTCAGCCAAGACACAAATGTTTTTCTTAGTGGAAGAAGAAGCTTAGAAATTATTGGCAGCACATTTTCACTCACCTTTAGTCCCTGACCTGGTCAGCTAAGCTATATAAATTACTGGATTATCATAAAATGACCAGCTGTGGTGCATATTTTTGACTTTTGCAGCAAGCACATTTTCATTCTCTGATGTTCACAGTGCTTATAAACAACAAGTCCCCAGAGTCTGTATTTTAAAAGCTTTGCTAAGTTTATTTTATGATCTGTTCTCTTGTGTGTTATCTTAAATCTAATAAGTCACTCTGGGCAACTGAGAAACATATTTGTCATGAGCTATCATAAATCTCCTAATTATTACTATTATATTTATTAATCCATTTACAACTATCGGCCCTTCTTTCCAATAATGCCAATCTGCTGTTTTCCTTTGGAAAGGGCTGCACTGCAGTTATTGTTACAATCACAGGGTATACAGTGATGCAACTCAGTCAGCCAAATTGTACCTTGTGGTCACTACCCTGCATCCCCTGGGCAGTAGGGCAATAGCATTCTCAATGTGACTAATATTTCATCCATAGTAAGCACATGTAGAAAAATACCTTTAGACATCAAAAGTGTTCACAGGGCAATCCAAGCTGCAGCTCCTTTATGTTAATTAGAAGGACACTGGAAATGCAATTTGAACAGGACCTGACTTTACTTCTTTGCAAAATAAGAACATTCTCCTAAAAAAATGAACGCAATTGAGATCTTATACTCCTCCACACCAGCCCTTTCTGAGGTACACTCCCGTGGCGGCCAGACACTGTGACTCCTCCGTGACGCCTATGATGACCTGGGAATGGTCAGTGCTCAGTCCTGCTGCTGTGTGTTTGGGAAAGCCTTCCTCTATCTGTCCCACACAGCACAGGAAAGCTCCGCAGATGTTTGGTATTTCCTCTATTCAGTGACTGCTGAGCTCGGAGGCAAATTCCCACAGGGTGTTGTTAAGATTTTATCAAGAGTCATCCAGGACCAACTTGCTGTGGAACCTCCGAAGCCTGACCCATGCACAGCACTGGCTGGCTCTTGTCAGTAAAGGAGGCTTGTCTCGACAGGACAAACTCTTAGGCTTGAAGGGGCTTTCTTTTCCTTGCCAAGGCTACATGTGCAAACCAGGAAGTTTTAACACATGAGATGCAAACAGGGCAGCATCCAGGATTGTCATTTATGTGAGCAATTCAAGGGTGTATTAGGAAAGCGCAAATAAGGAAAACACAAGGTTAGGAAAGTACAAAGACTCTGTGTGCCTGAGCATGGATTTAGTTGTCACCTAGTTTTTGCTAAAGGACTTGATAAGCTCTATATTGGGACAAGGTTTAATCACCAGGTATTTCTTAGAGATGCTCTGTAGAAGTTTGGTGAATTCAGTCAACTCCCCCTTCTACAGGCAAATGGCTGAAATAAATGGTGTCCTGTAAATCCACTACACAGTTAACAGCTGAGACGATCTCTGGACATTTGTAACCACTGTGGGTGTCTGTATTTTCCTTGTGTGGCTGTCAGGATCACAAGCTCTCTGGTGAGCACACAGAATCATAGAATCAAAGAATCATAGCATATTGCATACAGGGATTTTATGAAATCCTGTGTAAGCAGTTAGAGTGGTACAACACAGTCCTCTTCTACACACGGGATAATTTTACTTAATCTACTTTCTTTGGGCTCCACAACTTCTCTGTGGCATAGGAGGGCTAACTAATACTTGTCCTATTGTACTGGATCATAACAGTAACCTCTTGCAAAGCATATAGCTCAGTTGCCTTAGAAGATAAATAAAATTAGCTTAACTTAGGTAATTCCCAGGTGCCACTATCTTGCTACTTACAGCTCTCTGTCAAAGGAATGGCTTTTATTTGCTGTGCCTTATAGGTCAGTTGGGAACAGCTACTTATGACATGAACACCAAGCATATCTTTTAAGAGTTTTGGCCAGGAATTTTCACTTTGAGATTCTCCAGACAAAAGTAGGATTTTGCTCAAACCAATATGTTATATGGAAATGACCTCTTCAGTTTTAAATGTCTGATATGAAATTGATTTGACAAACAGGTTGAAATGAAATTGGTGGTCTCCTGGTAAAACTTTCAACTTATCCTACTGTCTTGATACAAAATGGCAATTATGAGTTTCCCAAGTTTTGTTTTGGGAGTTGTTTGGTTTTTCTATTCTAAATCAGAGAAAAATTCATTTTCAAATTGCTTACAACATATACTGTATTCACAAAGACCTCTGTTAAAAATAGTATGTGTTGTCCACATTCCCATAAATAAATAAAAACCAGTCATATCAGTTCTTCTAGTGTTATCCAATCCTGCAAAGATGAACCCATGAGGAATATAATTAATTTCTATTTATTAGATATTTATTTATTTCTATTAATTATATTATACAATGCATAGTTCTCATATACATTATTATTTATCTTACTTATAGTTGTAATATTATAAAGCTCTAGGCATGTCCACATTTTCTTCTTAAGTCTTTATTATAAATACAGTCTTATTACATTTATGAATTCAAAAATCATAATAAAAAACCTCTTTGGATTATTCTGACAATTCCTAAGTAATTTAAATATAAGTTTATAGAGGCAAATTTGACGGTACTGGATTTTTGCCTGGAGTTTCTAGATGTCAAGTTTTGTAACTGGAGCAGCTCTGCCCACACCTTTGGACACCAGGAAATCCCAGACTAAAGTCTGCTTACAGTACCAGTGCAGACTTGATTCATTGGACCTATTTTATAAATACACTGCATATGCACAGGAAAATCGACACATTCTTGTTCAATGGGATCTACACACATAAACTGCTGCACCTGTGCTGTGTACACTGGCATATACCAGGCTGTGTGAACTCATTGCACATGGATTTCACTACTCCTGTACAGACACCTGTTACAGGAATTACATCCAGAAACTCAGCATGCCTATTTTTGATAAATACATCCTCCAGATTTGATTAAACTGTGCAACTTCACCTACTGGCAACAGAATAACCTGGTTTTTCAGGGGCTGTTCCACATTGCCAGTAACCTCCACTGCTCTGAGTTGTGAGACCAGCTCTCTAGGCTGTTGTGCATTTCCTAAAGCATCTTGGTTTCCATAGATATATATGCTTGGTTCATAATTAATTCATAAGTGTTCAATGATCTCAGCAACTCTGTGTGTGTGTGTGCAACATTTTCTTTTAGCATGTGGGTGGTTTTGTTTCTAGAGTGCTTATCACCATAACAACCCATCCCCTCCTAATGATCTGTTACTACACTCTTGATTTATGTATGTACTCTAGGTCCAAAAGCCCTTGTATGCAGGATGTAAAGGTCAGGTGAGCACTCTTTTAGGATTCTTCCTTGACAATGAATTGTCTAAAAAATTAGTCACTTGTTGCGTCAACTAAAAATACAAAATCCCAGTGGGGTGTGGCAGCTGTTTCCCATATCCATGAGATTTAAGCATTAATCATCCCATTCAAGTCAATTAGCCTTCCCTAGCACTCATTTATGCACATTTTTGATTGCCCATAACTCCCCCTGAGACAAGGGCCAAGTGTGCTCAGATTCTCCTGAATTGCCCTCTTTTCCCCAGGGTTGGATTAGAAGAAGTGACCCTGCAGCCTGAAGCTCTCTGGAGCTGCTCAGAGGATTTTAGTGAGCACAGATTTAGGTTGCAGCTTAATACACACTTGTAGGTAAACAAGAGTACAAATTTTCTTTCTCTCAAAAGAAGGGCACTATAGAAACCCTCCAATTATCTTCAGAGCATTTAGGAAAATCTGACAGGAATCAAAATATTTTCCCCATTTCTGTATTTAAAATTAAGAGTAGTTAAGAGGGGGGAGGCATAGAACCAAAACCAAAAAGAAATCTGTGAAAGGCACCAGAATCCAGGGTAGTAACTGTACTTAAAATTAAGACATTTAGGAAAGAGAACAGATTTAAAAAAACCCAAACAACAGGGGAATGATGAACCTGTCTTTCCAGAAATCAGAAGCCACAGGCTGGTGTAAGACAGCACTGACTGACAGATTTGCTCTCTGTAAAAATGCAGGGGAAAAAAGAGTTGCTTAGGATACAGAATGACATTAGCACAGGGCTATAATGTGGGCCTCGCATAATCTAAGGTTAGAAATGGGAAGGTTTCTAATCACAGGAGAAGTGCAGGCTTCCACTGAAAATAGCAGGCCAGTACCCCATCTTTTTCTCACTATTTAAAGTTCTTGATCAGTATAGGAAAGGCACTTGGAACAGTTTTGATAAAGAACAGACTTCCCACATCCTTTCCTCCTGTAGACTGTTGTGTACTTAAAATGTTTAGAGTTCCCCCTTAAGCTGTGATGCACTTAAGAGGTTTTGGCTTAGCAAAGAACATTCTATGCCTGGCACTTCCAAAGAAAGTGCACAGACATGTTTTGCATTGTATACCTAAGCTTATTTGACTGGAAAATGAAGTTGCAGCCTCCTGGACACGAGGTCATTAACTTCATTTTATTAATCCGACACTTTATGGATACTGATATTCACGTTAAGAGAAGGAAAGAATGACTACTTCATTGAGTTTATGAAATTAACCCATGAACCACAAACAAGTTTCTAGAACCGTAAGTTAAAACATTTTTAATCAAGCCGACACATTTGAAGGGAGTGTCACATACATTAGTATCACTTGAAAGTAATTAATGACTATTTGCAATAGCTTTCTCTGGAACATCTTAATTGTGTAACACACTGGTTGTGCTTCTACCCCTCCCAGTACATTTAGAGCCAAATTTATTTTACATCTGTGCTTTTCTGACAAGTTACGACACCGCTTATAAGAAAGCACACCAAAGACTTTAATTGTGCTAAACCCGGTTACCATACCATCCTCCCTCTCATTAGGAAAGGTGTCCATTTTCTTACTTTTTTTTTTTTACCTCCTTCTCAGCTTTAGCTGTATAAGAATTTTCCAGACTTGGGATTCTCTGCTGTGTTTTGAATTCGATGGAAGTAACTACTGTCATTACTTATGATACAGGTAAGTCTACACAATATTCCCCAAAACCAGTACTGTACAGAAAAGGGGAAAAAAAAATTAAGGGACACATTTCTCACAGAATTCTCTTATTCAAAAAGAATCACAAATACACTTGATTGTATATGCCACGACTGAGCTCATAACACAATTCTGAAGTCTGCAGACATTTATGCCCTGTAAAATTATAAAATAGGCCTTGAAGGGACCTTCAGGAGTCACATGACCTTTCCAAAACAGGATAACATTCAATGTATAGTATTATCAAATTAACAAAGGTGTTACAAAATGGAAAGCTACAAAATATATAGTACAAGAAATACTGAGCATTATAAAATATTAGTTGTAAATTACTTTAGCTTTACAGTATGTTGGTTAATGCTTTTTATGTTCTATTTTGTACATGTGCATGAATACACATACCCATACACTTACTCTCCCTTTAGTACTGGGTTCATGAGAGAAGAAATAACAGAGTAACACACAGCCTTTGCTTTCCATCCTCCCTGTACCCCCCTCAGCCTGTCCTTTGCTAGAGCTGCTTCTCCCAAAGCTGGAAGAAGAGCTCACAGAATAAGCCTCTTCTTTCTTCCCCTGAAGAAAGCCCTAACAAAGATTATAGACCATAATTAAATCTGCTGTAAGATGCTGTAGGTCCATGACCAACACAGACACAGCTCTGCTTTGCTGGAATACTTATTTGGAACTGCTGACTGCAGAAACACAAACTAGGAGCCAGCCAGATTACTCTGACACAGATGTCTGTATGAAGTTTGCATACATAAACTGCTCACAGAACTGCTTATCTGTTTTTGCCTGTTACCCCTAATGACTCATAAAACAGCCCCAAGTTTACTAAACTGAGGCACCTACAGTGTTAAAAACTTTCGGAGGTTTTCAGATACCTTACACTAAGATTTCACTCTAAAGTACACTGATAATTAAAACACTGAAGCTTTAAAAAAGTAGACAAATAGAACAGTTTATGTTTCTACTCAAAGATATTTTCTAGACCAGCATCCCTAAAAAAACATGTAAAAATATATGTAATTTTAACATCTGAAATTTTATTGATCGTCTCTACGACAACATATATTAAATACATATCTGTGACTCCATCACAAGTCCTGCTGTGGCCACAAACCCACCAGTGTTACATTAGCCACTGTTACACACCAGCTCCACGCTTTAGAAGAGATCTCTGTTTAACAGCTTCACCTGGTGGAAAATAAATTTTAATTTTATTTTCCCCTTAATTCAAATAGCTTTTAGTCAGTAACAGTACAGTAACAGATATAAGAAAAGATTTTTAGGTGACAGGTGACTGTGACAGTCTCAGGGAAGTTCTTTCTTTGGGGCTGACTTTGATGGAAGAAAAACATTCTTTGGAAGGCTGCTTTTTTTCTAGTTCCATTTAATGCAATTTTGTCAGAGGTGAAAAAAAAAAATCTCTTGCAGGACCCATTAATGGGTTGTTTAAAATCTATCCTCTTCCTTTTTACACTTGAAACACAATCATCTTTATTCATAAGCAAAAGTCTGAATAATTAGTTGGGAGGGGAAGGAGCAAGTAAACCACCGAAACAGAATTGACATGAGAACACGTAACTAAATACTTTAGATAAAAATTATTTGCTTAAATATGCCAGTGTTTTTCCTAATTTATTACCAGGATAATAAGAAATGCTCTGGTGAAATAAGGTGGGATTTTTTCAGTCTCCTACAATCACACCAGATGTACATCATAGGTACTCCTCTGTTGTTTTGACAGTTGACTGTACTTGGACTTAATCTTTCAATTTAAGTATGGTGCTCTCTCTGGGGAGGAGTAGTAATAGGTAGGCTTGATGTTTCCCAGGACTTCATCTTCCCAGTTGGGGAGGCAGCAGAAGAAGAAAGCACAACCTATAACAACGACAGTGCTGGCCCAGCCAAAACCATAGGCCCAGCTGAACATATTATCTCCTGTCAGTGGAATATCTTCTGTGAATTTCACTGGGTAAATGACCAAGCCAATGATCTGGAATGCAGCTAGAGTGAGACAAAAAAGAACAGCAGGAGTAAGTTACAATGAACATTGAACATACAGTTCCTCCTAAGAAAAGGTACCTGGAGATAACTGCATATTTAAGACATGTAAGGATTAGCTGCAGTCCTGCAATCAAATCTGCATTCTTACAGAGGTACGTGACTTCTGGCCAAGGCAGATCCCCACACCTATCAGATTGCAGCAGCTACAGCTGACATTGCCAGATTGCTAAGGCACATATCTGCATGCTGTGACCAGCCCTGTCCTACAGCCAGGCACAGTGAACCCTGCGGAGCCAGTTACCTCCCACAGCCCCGTTGTTCCTCCTCCCACCAGAAAGGTGGGAAGCACCTGGGGCTCTCGGGTTTTAAGTCTTAGCATGTGACATGCAGGGTCAAAGTTGATGGGTGTCTCTGTACAGTGCTTTTGGGAAAGTGCAAACTGACAAAGCCCACTGGAGCTTCCCTAACCATTATTCTCTTAAATCAACCTTTCCTTGTTTCCCACGAAAATGAGTCATAAACCAGACAAAGACAGCTAATTTCATAAGGGAGGCTCCATCTAGCATGTTTTTCTGCTGATGCCTGTTTTACATCTCAAATAACCTTGTCTCTGTGCCCAACCTTACCAACAACAAAGAGCAAGCCTCCAATTCCTCGCACAAAGTTGAAGCGGAGTATCTCGATCGAGAACGCAATGACTGCAAGAGCGAAACAGATGACCAGGATCACAAAGCCAACGAGGTATGTGGCAGCTGCTGCTCTCCCCCATCCTTGAAGAGAAAACAAAAAAGGTGTTACACACAGCAGTAAGTCATTGCAGTTCTTTGGTTTTCTTTAATCATTTTTTATTGAAATCTTTTACTGTAAGAAGCATGTCTTTATTTCAAAGCAATACTGAATGCCTCCAAAGTACAGAGCTGCAGAGCAGAGAGGCATCATCATTGCTGGAGTAGCACAGAACTCCCTGTCCAATAACTTGTCTTGCTGAAAAGAGGGATACAGTGCAGCACAGAATAGAGATAACACCATCAAACTCTGTATCTGTAAGAGCCACAGACACCGAAGCAGATAGGGCCCACAGCTGCTGACAGTGCACTTTATTGTTACAGCTCCTGTTCGATATGCAAGTTTACAAAATCACTTCCATGTACAGGGAAGTGTGAAAGCAGAAAAGAAGGTACCGCCACAGTCGATAACTGGGAAGTAACAGTACTGTGACATATAATTTCTTCCTGTTTGTTTATGACAAGAATAGTGCACCTGTAGCAAAATTAGAATGACCAAAAAGAAGTAAATTCGGAATAGCTGAAAAGACGACAAAAAGATAGTTCTTGAAGATAAATATCTCTTCACAGCTAAAACGTAGCAGGTGGAAGAGAAACAGACAAATCTGAGTTAAAAGTTGAAGAGTCTTTGAATCATTACTTTGACATTTGATGGAACAGGGTGGTGGAGATTCTTAGTATCAAGCTAATGCATGCTGGAGAGGCTCAGGCATGAAGCAAGTGGCTGTATTCCAGCAGAGCAGCACTAGCACCCAGAACTCACACAACACAGGCCAGGGCCAAGGCAACAATGGTAAGAAAACCTCCTAGAAAAACAGACAGCAATTCCACTTTTGCAGTAACATGGCCTTGCAAAAAGGCCCTCACAGACCCTGTCCACTTCAGAAACCAGGTAATTGAGGTGAGCTCCATGCAAACAACTATAAGCAAAGGTGTTCCTGCCCTGGAGGTAGGATACCTGCCCACAAGGGCTAAACCATACTGGCTAATGCTTTGTTTTCCAGTCAGCTGTCATCACAATTCAATTCCCACATCTACATAATGTGGGTTTCTACTTTCACACAGACAGAGGTAGGGCCAGATCCCGAGCTCCCTCTAATGTAGGAATAAAGAGGGTAGTGAGATCTAGGTCAGAACATTTTAAAAAATCTCTTTCATCAGAGCTGTCCATTCCAACACAGTTGAAGTTACTTTGGAGATATCTTGCTTTCATTGTGGCTTCTATTCTTTCTGTGCAAAAAGTAAGAGGAAAAAGGAGGTAAAATAAATTTTTCCTAAAGAGTTATAACCCTCCACCTTAATTCATGTACTCTAATAGTTGCACAAATGGCAAAAAATAGTATTTTGAGACGGAGAATGCAGTAAAACTATCTCAGATACCTCCACTACATACATAAATTTGCAATCTGAAAGCAAAGCATTCTTTTACAACCATTTTAATTAGATTAGTTTGAACCGGTTTCCTTCTCCTCTATTCCAACAGCAAAAGTGAAATACAGCAGGTACCTGTCAGCTGAATCTCTGCCCAAAACTCCCAACCACCACTGCTGCCACCTGAAGACAATAAAGCTGACATAGAAAAGGTAAGGAAAAGGGTTTTCTCTTCCCTCTCCCTTCCTGGAGCTACTCAAGACAGCAAAAACTTTTCAAATTGGTTCTCCTTCAGCTAGTTGTGCATGTTTCATACCCCTTCCCTAAGGGAATGGTGAGGGGGAAGGAAGGAGAGAGAGAGGGAGGGAGGGAGGAAGGACACCTGATGAGTGTCTGGAGATCAAAACTATGTCAGCAGTCTGAAAAAAGCTTTTCATACAAAATATTCTCAGACATTTCTCAGACCTAACACAGGCATTGAATATTGTCTCCACAATAGGATTTCTTTAGTGATAACTAATATAAAGGGATATATAGCCACACAGCCAGTCCAGGAAAACCAATTCAGACTAAGTGATCTTGGAAAGCTATTTATCAATATTTACCCTATTAAGAAATAAAAGCACAACAAGTGCTTAGTTACAACAACAGTTCCCATAGCACATTCCCTTTCAGATGCATTATATATGCCGACAAGATGTAAGAAGACAAATTTGGTATCTGTTTGATAAAAATTAGGTTGCAAACTCAAATATACCAACGGGTTAGACACTTTGGGGTTTGGTGCAACAAAAACACAACTGGAGAAGTACAAGCCAGAATGCCCCCAGTGCTCTCTCTGCCATTTTTGTAACATTTGTGTTTACTTTACAAGCATAACAAACTTTTGGATACAGGTCAGCCCCAGCTCTGCTTAAAGTGATTTATTGTCTTCTCTCTGGCAATATGAAAATGGCAACACATATGACTGAGAGAGATATCTTGTCAAGATTAATATCAAGCTCAACTTTGCTTCAGGTTTTCAGAAACAGGGCAGCAGTAGGCACCATCATTTTCAGTGAGTTTTGTGCTCACATGTGACAGAGCTCAGCGCTGGTCATCCCATAACTTCCTCTCTTTCTCCTTCTGGATTATCTTTTCCAACAGCAGTTAACAGCCAGTTGATACTGACAAGACCTGATAAGATGGAGTCATATGTGCTAGCCCCAGCACTAGATGGGTGTGCTCTGGGCTGGACTGGTGTAGTAGTCAGCCACTGGACATTTGATCCCCTGTGAGAATCAGAAGAAGAGCAGCAAAAAGCTCTAGACTTCTATATACACACAATGTAAGAAAAATCTCAAAAATTAACCATGAGTCTTCTAATAAGTGACAGACAAAAGAGATTGGGATGGGAGCCTGCACCTTTCCTGAGCACAGGGTGCAGCCCTGGCATGTTTCTTATCTGCAAGAACTGTTGCTACCCCCACCAACATGGAGAGCCTTCAGCAGAGGGCTGCTGCAGGACTCAGGCTGAAACTGCTGTTTCTGCATGCAGGATTCCCCTCATCCCCATACCTATCAAGTCAGGCTTTCGCAGCTCCTTGTCCCTCTAAAGACTTCCAAGAGCTGTTTGAGTCCCTACAGGCACCCAGTTCACCTGTCTGTCTGAAAGATCTTCCCCCTCCAGCTCTCAGGAGGAGAGAGGTGCAAGTTTACCCTCTCACCATTTTCTGCCTTATGGGCTGGAGAGACCTGCACACACTCAGAGAATGACAGATCAGCCCCAGTTTCTAGGTGGTTTATACTCAGAAGTACCTTGTAATTGCAAGATATTTAGCCAGGATTTAAATTTTCCATAAAAATAGAACATTTTCAGATCCATTCATTTGGCAGAGAGAGTATTTCAGACATAAATATGATGTTTGTTTATGAAATCCACCTATAACACACACAGTAATTAGGAGCTGCTTAAAATGAAAGGTGGAAGAATAGGAGAGCAGAAAAGCAGAAAAATAGTTGGAGATACTAGTGTTCCCAGGTTGTCTTGGCCTCAAAGAATAATCAAGTTCTTTGCATCTAATCAGCAGAAAGGTATTTTTCAATTAGGTGGTGTTGAAAGAACATTAAAAAAACAATTGTTCAGGAGCTGAAGGTCTATAATTATTAGGAAGGATTATGAGTTTTGTTACATAGCACTACATTACATTAATGATTACTATGGAAAGGAACTAAGCTGCAAATGTTATCATGCAAATAACTAGGAGGGGTCAGGATTACTTAATGTTAATGGTGAGCACCAGTAATATGATGAAATTAAAAGAAAGCAAGCAGTAGAGCCTTAGCAGTAGGTGTATTTCCTGATTTCATTTGGCCATGCCTCGGCCTTACCAGGTAGAAGATGGAATCTCTACAGGCTAAAGTATTTAAATCTAGATTTCCTTTTAGAAAACAATAAAAGGGCTAGGAAAGTAATCTAGCAGTGAGATGAATTTCTACAGGATTTGAAGTAACAAGATTTTCTCATCTTCATTTACTTACTTCCAAAGGCAGAAGCTAGTTTGTTAGCTTATGAATAACTGGAATCTTAGGGTAGAAGTTTTTATCATGACATGCATAGATGGGGCATGTTTTTACACTGTTGCTTTAATATTTTTCTGTATATAAATGGCAGTAACAATTCTTGTTTGGCCTTGAAAGCCCATTACATAGAATGTCCAAAAAATCTGCCTCTGTTAATGTAATAAAGGAGTAGTGGACTCCAAGCAAAAGAGCACTGTCAGTCCATTTTCTTGCTCAGATAATGCACAAACTTCCATGGTAGCATGACTGGTGACAGGAAGCTAGGTGCATACCCACCACGGGCACGGAAGAGACCAGAATTAAAGGGTTGCTAGGAGGGCTGGCTGGAAAATAATACTGGGAATCGCAACTCTGTTTTGGCTTTCAGAGTGCAGGAAAAGCTATAACACCAAATTATTAAAAACAAGCCCAACTTGACATCAGTTGCCTCTGCCAGGAGCTGAGGAGATGCACAATCCTATACATTTCCAACTTTTAGAGTCTCTGGGTTGTTAGCGGTGGAAGTGCGCCTGCCCAGGAGCCAGCAAAGCACGCTGGCAGAGACACAAGCCTCACCTGTTCACTGGGTTCTTTTACCAGGGAGTTGCAGTAAATGTTTTCTGGGTGTAGATAGGGACACCAACTGCTACACCTTTCCCATTAGCATTTTCCAAGTGCCTGCGCTTGGATGACACTATAAACGATGTTAATTTGTCTTGAATATATCTTGGCATTGTAAATCAGACAAAAGCACGCCTGAAAAGAGGTGTACTGAAAAGATAAGCGTACATCTAACATTCCTCCTTTATTTACCTGGCCCCTCAGTGAAGTCGACACATGCACTCAGCTTCACCAATAGTCTGTGGTATCAAAGTCCATGCCTCTAGAGACGCAGGTACGGTGGCAAAGCTGCAGTGAAATATGATTCACAAAGGCTGGGCTCCTACTCCTAGGTTCCACCTCTTTTTTCCCTTTTTTTTTTTTTTTTTTTTTTTTTAATGTGTGTGGGGCTTTTTTATTTGTTTGGTTTTTTGGTTTTTTTGGCACCTAGTATGAATGTTTCCCTTTCTCTTTGTTGGCTGTTGTGTACTTAATGAACAACAACTGGCTGTTAGGAATATAAGAAAGAGTTAACCTAATGGGGTTACCTTGACTGCGCACATACACACCCATCTTTTACAGTGTTAATTCCAAGCAAAGTTGCTGGGACCAGTCATTCAGAACCAGGAGGATACAGCCACCCACAAATACTGCTCCTAAGTGTACAGCCTCATCACTATAGAGACAATCACCCTCTCCAAGGAACACATTGCAACTAATCCTTGTCGCATCTGATGATTTACTGATATGTTTTAAACACCGAGTCAACAGTTTAATCCTGCAATGGTCCAGATTAAGTCATATTGAGTCATATTCTAATGCAGTGCAGCACCTCTGCATTGCAACATTTTGATAATACACAGACGCTGCCAGCCAGAGTACTTCCCAGGCACAAACCAGTACAGAACTCTAAACAAAATCCCTTCCCTGCCTCCCTACCAAATGACATCCTACTCTTCTTTTTCCCTTTCACTTCTTCCCTCCCATGTGGCATTTGCAAATGTGTATTTGCAAATACACAAGAAGCCATGCAGTTTACTAGACACTCCTATTTGCAAATCTTTTTTTGTCTGTTCCTGCCCCTTTTCCTCATTTAAAATAAGCAACTTGGCTGCTTTTTCTCTTCCTCTTCTTAGTACACATGCCGTAGCTCAATTAAGAAGTTGTCTAATAAAACTTTCTGTTAATGGACATCCACTCTGAAGTCTCCATTTCATCAAGAGAGGTGGAGGATGTTTGGTGCCTAGCAGTTACCATATGCAAAACACAAGTTATGCATCTCAATTAGTTAACTTTAATTTTCCTGCAGCAGCGCTGTAAATGCCTGCTAGGTATTTTTTCCTTTGTAAATACCCTCCCCTATTTTGAGACTAATTGCATTAGCATAGAAAAAAAAGGAAACAAAATAAATCAAGCCTGAACTCATGTGTAACATCCTGTCTCTAGATGTAAATACTGTTTCAGTAGACAGTGGCACTGATGTTATGAAAATTTGAAAAGAGGCAAATTGGTATAAATGAGCCAAGGATGTAATAAGTTTTGGGTTAAATAAGCTAGGGCTTAAATAAGCAAAGTCAAGGATACTATTCTTCTCTGTCAGCTTGTTAAATAGAAAAAACAGGAGAACACTACTTTTGCCCCACAACGCTGAGGGCTGACGCAAAGCACACACCCATCAGTACTCAGGGAAGTGAGAAGCAGTGTCACTACAGGAGAAAACAAATTTCAGCAGCTGTTCTGTAACAGCACTTTTTCCTTTTGCAATGCAAATTTCAGCAACTCTAATACCTTTTCTTCTCTGTCTAATGGGGGAGATGGATACTTTAAACTCACTAGCCAGACTTCTTCCACCTACAGTAAGGCGTGAAGTAATCACTTGGCCAAAGCCACTTCTCTTACAATATATTCAGGATTAACTTTTAAGCAAAAGTGTTGCAATGAAAAGCTTCTGGAAGTCAGTCTGCCTTGCTAAGGCAGCAAGGGATCTGCGCAGGGAAGCAGTCCCAGCTCTCCCAGCTGAAACACACCCTTCCAGATTCCCAGTCCCTAAAGAACCCTCATCCAGGATCTTAAGGCGGGTCTGCTTATTTGTCCAGAAATATTTTGCTTTAGGGAAAAGCAGATGTAATCAGACCCATGTGTTCTAGCAATAAAACAAGAAGTCCCCCAAAAGACCCAGAAACTGAGAATGTGCAGTAAGAATATTACATTGTTGATGCCAGATACAGAAGCAGCTCAGCCAGTTAAAACAGAGGTGCAATTATCCCTGCTTTAGGCCCCAGAGCAACAGAGAGGTGTACAAAAAGAAAGAGCTTTTTTTTTTTTTTTTTCCTGCCTGCAAACCCTCATCAGGCCATTTTAAGCTGCAGGTCAGGAGACATTTTAATAGCTGCACTGTCTTGGCCAAGCAGGGTTAAATTAAGGTGCTCTCTCCCTCAAAAGAGTCCGGGAAAGACCATTTTACTACTGCCCAGGTGTGGTTCTGCATAGGACACCTTCCCTGAAGGTTTGCACGCTCACCATCTGACCAGGGAAGCCACCGGCACAGGGCGGGGAACTTCACTGGTGCCTGGGAAGGCTGCTGGGACTGCAGCCTGTGGAGAGTTGAGGGAAAGCAAATTGACGGACTTGTAGCTAGTTGGCAGAAAAAACCAAAGTATCAACACCCCGGCTTCTCAGCGTTGTACTGATAGAAAAAGATTGTTCTGAAGCAGTCTAGACCGGTGTTTCTTTGCTGGTTTAAGCCCCAAAACAGCACGAGTACTGGTTCGGCAAAGGAAACTCCATCCCAGGGGGCAACTGCTCCACCACAGAGGTAGAGAGGGTCCATGGCCATGGCACCCACTGCCCCGGGTCTCTTGGAGGGGTTCTCACTCACCGTAGTCCATGAGGGATTCGCAGTTCCAGTTGAGGTCCTCCTCGCCCCGGGTGCAGCTCTCCCACAGCGACGCTTGCTGCACGTAGGGCTCCGACTCGGACTCCAGCCAGCCCCGGCCCGCCAGGGCGATGATGCCCATGATGATGGCCAGGCCCAGCAGCAGTGGCAGGAGCCACCTGCACCTCCAGCAGGCGAGGCCGCACACCACCATCGTGCCCGGCCGGCGGGGCGCGCAGCGAGCGCGGGCGTCGCGGGTGGGGTGCAGCGGGGACGCTCCGCCGGGACGGGAGACTGCGGGCGCCCCAGTCCGAGCGGGGTTTTAAGGCGCCGGGGAGGAGGGAGTCCCACCCACATTCCTCTGACTAAGCCTGCCGCCGCCGGCGGCCCCGACCGGTGGGGCCGGCGGAGAGGAGCGGAGCGGAGCGCAGGGGAGGGGAGGGAACGCGGGGCCAGCCCGCTCCCGCTCGGCCCAGGCTCCACGCCAGCCCCGAGAACTCCCGGACCTTGGCTTGCCCCGCCCGGGCTCATCCTTGCACCTACCCTCTTGCTGTCTGCCACCCTCCCGCACCCGTACCCTCTCCTCCGTCGTGGCCCTGCCACCACAAAGAGCAACCACAGCGAAAAAAACTTTCCGTTCTCGGGGTTCCACGAGCCCTGCCGTCCTCCCAGGGACTGGAACTCATCCTCCTTCTCTCTGTTCACTGGATGGACCGACCAGCATTACCCAACATTGATAATACTGATGGTGTTAGCCACTTCAGGCACCAAAAGCTTGCTGTAAATCCTGTGCATTTGAAAAAAAACACCTTACAGAAAGATGTCATATGAGGATGGGAATGTGACATTACTAACAAGGAAACCATCACTTGTCATCAGACTCAGCATTAAACAAACACATGTTTCCTAATGACATCAAATCGATGTTTGATTGCAATTGTGCTCCATCTTCCATGCAGACTGTGCTGGGCACAGCCCAGCAGTGGTACTCAGGACCCATGCACCCTCATCTCTTCCCATTCCATGTCTGGAAATGCAACCCAAGATGCAAGATGACAAAAATGAAGGCTTCCCCAGCACATGGCATGAATAAACATCCAAAATTTTGGTTATGGGAGAAGTGCTTCTCTACAATAAGATCCCTGGGTTTCATAGAGGATAAGGACTCTTATTGGACTGCATCAATTGGGATTTTGTCACAGGTGTGTCACATATGATGAAACTGTCAATCAACTTTGTCAATTCCTCAAAAAATATTCAGGGGAGGTGTCCTACGAGGAAGGATGGTCAACCTCGTTTGAGTACTAATTACTGGCAAATATTAGGGAAATGGTTATGATGCTAAAAATCAGAACAGTAGTATGATATCACTATAGACAAGTTCCAAAAATCTCAGGCAGATTACCTCAAACTATGTGGAGTTTGACCAGCCCTCCCAACATCCTTATGGTCGTTCTCAGTCTTCAGATTTCATTCCAAATTCAAAATAAAATAGAGCTCTAAATAAATTTTACCAGAACTACTTGCAAGTCTCAGTCATCAGCACACAGTTTTTTCATAGATAAGTAATGGCAGAACTGGGCACCACGATCGTCTCCTTTGTCACTGCAGCAGAACTTCATTTGCACAGTGCTGAGCGGTGATTTTCCAGCAGTCTCACTATCAGCACTCAAGTCACCTCAGAAGGAGATGCAGAAAGTACTTTCTTCAGCACAAAAAGTGAGAGCCGTTGGAAGAAGTGAGGTTAAATTTCATCCATTTTGCGGGAAGTAGAGGAGGAACGCACCAGTCAGGAAAGTGCTCTCTTCATTACAAGGTCAAAAGTTAGGGAGTTCCCCCAGTTCAGACAGGAGCACAGAGCTGGCTTCCATTTTTAGTAATTGCATTACTTGGTTTCCCAAGGTTGTGCCTGCACCTGGAGTGCCTCAGTGGCCAAATGTTTCAGTAGCATAATGTCAAGCTCTGAGATGAGCGTCCAAGCCCACCTCTGGCATTATTGGCTTGTGTGGCCTATTCTGCTTTTCCCAGTGATCCCATGAAAAGAGAAATGCCATCTTCTCCTTTCTTTTAAAATACCTGGCTTTTAAACAACTAGGAAATCTAGCTGAAGTTAAAAGATAATATACCAAACATTCCATTATGTATGACTGGGGGTCTACAACACAGTCAGTGAAGTTATCTGCCTTCAGTCCCAGTGATACTTAGATTTAGTAACGAGGAAATCTAGCAAACTAATAACCCAGTGCCTCATGCAGCAAAATAGGCAGCTACAGTAACATATGTAGTTTTTCTCACCTCTGGGCTGTATAGCCCACATCTTCACAGAGACCAGATGGTAGGAGTCAGCTCTGTGGGGTTGCAATGATACACAAATGAAAAACATGTATTGCTGTGCTCATGAGGAAAAGATGCCCTAATACATAACAAAACAAACAGGAGGTTTGCTTCAGTAAACACGAAATCTACCTGAATGTATCTGGGCATTCTGGATCAAGCTGCTTTGCCAAACATACAATGTCTTCAGCCATGAACACAGCTATGTGTTCTGTAGTTGTGAAAATCTAGACACTTTCCCCAATTTTTTCTTTAACCGTGGAAAAAAGAATCATAAGCTTCTTTCACCATCACTACCCTTACCTCTATTTGTTTATTTGAATAATTGTTTATGTGAATAATAAAATAATTCCAATTCCATCCTTGTGGCTCTATAGAGATGTTTTTTCTTGGAGTGTAATGAGGGATACGCCTCTCTGGTAGACGGTGCTTTATGTGGAGTAAATCATTTACCACTTCTGGCAATCATTCACCCAGCTATCGGAGAAAACCAGGTAGCCCTGAGTGAAGGTCAGGGAGCAGCTCCAGCCCAGATGGGTATGGATGGGCTCTCACAGGCTTTGAAATGTGCCAGTGGGAATCTGCAGGCCAGTTGCCAAGAGTTCATTTTGGGGAGGGGGGAATAAGGGGGATACACAGTAGGTAGCACAGTGCCAAAGGCATCTCTGTACCTTGCAGCAGAGAGTCGCCTCAGGGCTGGGGTACTTTTCCTTTACCTGTTTTACCCCACTGTATTTTCTAGCCTTTTTACCTCTCAGCTAAAATCATTAGGAAAAAAAATAATGTCCAGAGACTGCATACCGGTTGTAAATCCAATTATTTTGTAATTCATGGGTGTTGCCCTTTAGCAGCGTCTTATGCTCACTTTCCTCCATGTCCAAGTGCCCCAATTCTACTTAATCTCTCTTCAGGCATCACAGCCATAATATCTAATTAGCATCACCTAAACAAGGTAGTCATTCAATCCATAAAACAGGATAGGAATGGGATGTACTTAGTGTAATCCGCAACAACCACTCCGTCAGTATTTCCAGATCAAACTTCAGTTTCCTTGTGTGTGCTCAAAAGCTGCCATTATCTGAATTTATAAGAAAGCAATTTTTCTGACCAGCTCTTATCAGTAGCCCTTGGTTGAACTCAGTTTACATTAGAGACTCATCTGGGGCTGGCATAGATGAAATAAGCTGGCTCTCCGCAATTGATGTGCTGTTGAGCCTGCTTCAAGAGCCTTATGCAAATACTAGGGCAACAGTTTGGCCTGCAGAGGTGTGACTAACCCTTTCTCATTCCAGCAAGAGCCACCTTGTGTGACTCCATCAGCCTAAGATAACCTAAAATCTTAGAAATAAAAGGACAGTAAAGAATCCTTCTTCTGTGCACACAGTGTCTATGTTTGCCATACAGACAGTTGTAGAGCTGCACGTGAGCTCACTAACTTCAGTTTTCTACGCTTGGGTTGTGCAGCGGACTCTCTACTGTCATGGAGTGAAATCTACTGGGTGAAATTCTGTTTCTATTAAAGGAAATAGCAGAATCCAAGGTCGCAGCAATTTTACCTCAGAGCTCTCTAGGGACCTCAGGCTCATTTAGATCATGCTCACACAACATCTAGGGTCTTCAGAAAACTAAGGTCTATGGACTGGTTGCTGCAACTTTTTCTCCTTTACCTCATTCTCTCATTTGCATTTCCAAAATATAAAAAAGGAAAACATTAAATAAGGAACTATGTCATCCTTGATCTTCGTAGTGATTTGGGGTTTGTCCATAAGTCTTTTTCCAACGTTGACCATCTTCATGTGTGATGTTACATAGTGCTAGCAATTGCCTGGCTAACACTGGAACTATTCTTGCAGGAGTGTGGGCTTGGTGCAGCTTATGAACATTATTTCCTAGACTTGCTATTACTATACTTATTCACGAGGGGCGGGAGGGTTTCACTGGTTTTTTACTTTGTTTTCACTTGAGATAAACTTCTGTTTATTCAGAAGAATGGGAAAGACTTACTAATCCTTGCAGAGACTGTGCTTATATTTATTCTGACTTGTGTATTCACATCTGATAAATGAAGAGATGTGACTTGTAAAAATACCATATTCGTGCAATATCAGATACAAAGCTGGAAATGGTTTTTTCACACCTTTCTGAGTCCAGGTGTCAAGTCTGAAACTCTCCTTGAGAACTGAAATTTCTGCTCCCACGTCACTTTTTCTACAAGCGCCGCAGGCGTCCGGGGGCGGCAGGGTGGAGCCGGGGCTGGCCGTGCCTCTGCCTCCAGAGGGCAGGAGTCACCTCGGGAAAGCTTGGAAGTGGGGGATGAGATCCGGGGAGGGCAGCTGACGGCCTCCCACCAGAATCCCCTCCCCGACGAGGGGTTTGTCGTGTCCCGGAATCCTCTGCCCGGCACCGCGGAGCCTCCCGAGTGGCTTGGCCAGGCTCGGCGGGGCCCTTTCAGTTGTCCTTGTTTCTTTTCCTACAGCAACGAGAAAAGGGCATTCCGGCTGGAATCGGCAAAAGTGTGGCCAGCAGGACTGGGGAAATGATCGCTCCCCTGTACTCAGCACTGGCGAGGCCACACCTCAAATCCTGTGGTCCGTTCTGGGCCCCTCACTGCAAGAAGGATGTTCAGATGCTGGAGCATGTGCAGAGAAGGGCAACAAGGCTGCAACAAGGAGCTGGTGAAGGCTCTGGAGCACATGTCTTAGGAGGAGAGCCTGAGGGAGCTGGGGATGTTTAGCTAGCAGAAAAGGAGGCTTGGGAGGGACCTTATTGCTCTCTACAACTATGTGAAAGGAGGTTGTAGCCAGGTTTGGTTCAGCCTCTTCTTCCAGGTAACAAGTGATAAGACAAGAGGAAAAGGTCTCAAGCTGCATCAGGGGATGTTCAGATTGGATATTAGGAAAAATTTATTCACTGAAGGGGTGGTCAAGGATTGGAGCAGGCTGTTCAAGA